CAGGCAGTTGTGCTTTCATGTGAGCTTGCCTGACATTGTAAAAGTGGAATTTTTAGACTGCTCCTGGTTTTGTGGATTTATTTTACCTCCTGCTGCTGCACTGTGACCAGGAGATGTGGAGAAAAATACAGGACCTGAAGTTACTGCATGTCTGGCAATGTTCATGTACAGAGACTCATTGTTTTACCTGACCAGGCCTAACATACAAACAGCTGACCAATGAAGCACCCTGGGGTGGTGAATGATCAGCTCATCAATGCTGGATTCTCCCAGAGCACAGTACCTGTTTGTTTTGACTGCTTGAGACCAGTGTGTCTGCCACATGTGATGTGTTGCGGGATGACCCATTATGTTATTGATGCTACGCTACCTGTTGGAATTAATTTCTACTTTGGGACTGTATGTGGTCGTGGGGGGAAGACGCAGCAATCACCTGTTGGTTTTACCGACCTTGGAGCTACTTGAAAGGGATCACCTGTTGGATTTACCGACCTTGGAGCTACTACCCATTATGTTATTGATGCTACGCTACCTGTTGGAATTAATTTCTACTTTGGGACTGTATGTGGTCGTGGGGGGAAGACGCAGCGATCACCTGTTGGATTTACCGACCTTGGAGCTACTTGAAAGGGAGTGATGTTTTCCAATGCTTGGTGGGACTTAACGGTAAGTAAAAAATAAAATAAAGAAAAACACATGTTGCATGTCCGTTAATGCCTTGTTTCTGTAACGTTAGAGAGAATAGTTGTGAGGCTGAAGTAGTTACTATGTCTGCATTATGCCAGTTAAAATAAGGTGTGCTTCAGTTACCCACTTTGTTTAGTGTTACACATGTCTTTTCATCAGTACATATACCACTATTTACCTATCTATGGAGGAGAAATTCAAATTAATCAATGCTGTTGTGGTTCGTTGTGCTGTCCACTTTCATATTCTGGCTCAAACATGTCAGGTATTAAGGTTGAGGTATTGTCATTGTCGAAAACGTAGCTTATTTGTCAAAGCTTTTTGTTTATGTGTTGTCCTGGTTTCCTGACTGACAACAGGAGTTGTGTGCATTCACCAACTAGCCTGCTCACATTTTCAGGAGGAGGCTCTCCTTGTTTTGCTGTTTGGAAATCATTACAGATTATTTGGAGTTATGAGCTAATCTATGGCTGGAAATGAGCATGCCATGCGTTTTAACTGACACTGTTATGGTTTAGTCCCCCTCACCAGGAGGGTGAGGGAGAAAGGAGGTAGGACACAAGTTTGCAGACCCAGGTGCTAGTAAAAAAAAGGAGGTTTAATGGAAAAAACCCAACCAAAGTAACAGAATCCACGTATAGTATAATAACCGGGGTAGGACAGGGATGGTTGAGGAGACTAGGGCAAGCGGATGAGTAGGAGGATTGCTGGAAACAGGAACGTAGAGGACCAGGACAAGGCAGGTGAATAGACAGGAGAACGGTGACAGGTGAGATGGCAGGAGGGACACAGGAACGAGAAGAACAGGGCTAATGTAGCGCTCGCTGAAGCGCTAGCCGTCTGGTACCTACGGCTGGGAAAATCACCGTCAGATACACATGGCTAGGAAAGTTCACCAGTGGTAATCACGGCATCGCCGTCAGATACACATGGCTAGGAAAGTTCACCAGTGGTAATCACGGCATCGCCGTCAGATACACATGGCTAGGAAAGTTCACCAACATGTGTGGCCCTATCTAACACAAAAACAAGAAAAA